GATCTCAAAATATACAGGAACATTCCTAAGCTAAGCCCACATAATTGTGGACGCAAGACTTATTTCTAGATTTCGATAACAGATTGAGGAGCGCAACAGAACGCGGAGATAAAATCGATTCTGACGCATGTTCGTAGTTTACATTTGGACTGGAATAAACGGGGTAAGTGGTAGGAATTGCAGGCATCTGATTAAACGATTTGTGCTGTACACACATACAATCAGATACGAGTGAACCTAAGTAAAATTAGACGTACTCTCTAAATAAACATTTAGATCAGTGTTAATGAAAAACAGGAGTAATATCGACGAGTTTCGCTGGTCCGAAAGAAACTACAAGTAATCAAAGCCTAGAATAGGGATAATGACAGCGTATGAAAACTAAAAATCTAATTAGTACGTCAGTTAGGTAATGAAAAAATATTAGACACGTATTTTTTATTTTGTCGTATAAGAAAACAATACTTATATAAAACGAATCAAAATTTAGGAGTGGGAGGTAGCTACGTCATTTTAGAGTATAAATTGTACTCAAAAGTGGCGTCATGCGATATTTCAAATCAATATATCCTCGAATCGAAACTATTTGTTTCTGTAAGAATATAAAAAATACGTGTCTAATGTATTTAAATAATCTACCAGACGGACATTAAAATAAAAATTAGTCATCTACCCTAATTTTTAAAAAATCAATAATAGCTTGCAGATACCCCACCCAACACAATATTTATAAGAAAAGTTGTGTCCCTTTTCGTCAGAATATTTCACAAGCTTTCTTTTGATACGTAATATGATTAATATGATTATGTATTACTCTGATATCGAGCTCTCAAAAAGGCTATAAGTAAAGTTACTAGATAGCTTTGTGTAGGTAGACACAAGAGCGCTGTCCAGACCAGCAGTTCGTCAGCAACCCAACTAAAGTATAACTTCCTCAGAGATAAGCACTTGACATTGTTTATGTTATCTGGATCTTATCTTCACGCTCTCTTACGTTGTGAGGTTGGGCACACATACGGTATCAAATACTATCAACGTGCTATCATTTAATTTATCCTAATACGTTTAGATAGGCGCGAAATCTTTGAGGATTGAAAGATATGGTAAAAGATTTGCGTATAACGCGAAATATATAGAAACAAACGATCATTAGTTTCTAATCGGTTTTGACTACACACCCCTAAACCATATCATAACTAAGTGTTACTTAACGTGATCCGTAAACTTACCCTCTTAGTAATCTTAAGGTGTGGCTTATAGGTTCTACCTCTATATATATAAAAGAAAGTCGTGTTAGTTACACTACTTATAACTCAAGAACGGCAGAATAGATTTGGCTGAAAATTGGTAGGGAGGTAGCTTAGAGCCAGGAGACCGACATAGGATACTTTTTAACCAAATTTTTTTTTTACTTTTTACCGAAAATCACGAACGGGGACGGGAAAAAATGGGATTACGCGTACGAAGTCGCGGGCAGAAGCTAGTAACATATAAAAGGAATTCAATATAAAGTCAGGGTATTTCATGAAAGCATGATAACATGAGCTGTATAATAATGATCCCTGTAGTAATGTTATTGCGGTATATCAAGGAACAAATCCACCAATCAGCGAGAACTAAGAATGTATGTACTAAATAACATCGACTATTTATCCGATCCAATAAAATACAAACAGAACACCAGCTTTGTTTACACCAAACTTTTAATAATGGCTTGAAGTTTTTGTATCAGAAGTTAACAACATGCCGCCCACACGCAAATTCTCTTGTTTTTATTTTTCATTCTTCTGGTACCGAAATTTTGGTTTTATTGTAATTACAGGTCATTGTATTATCATTTGGCTGCGAATGCGTGTTGTTGGATTAAGATGTTTGACCTTAGGGGCAAACTGACTTCGTATTTGGAATTAAATGGAGACATTTGTGAGACCGTACGTCGTCAAAACTCGAGCTTATTGCTGTATGAATAAGATTCTACCAAACTAATCGATGGTAAATAGAATTTACGACTAGAGTACATACTATACTATATAGTACTACATACTATTTTTGTCGCTATTTAATCAGTGAACTTAGGGATTTTTTTTAAGGGGGAAAATCATCGAATGACTGTTCCCGCCTGGGTGAGGCGAGAGCGAGTGTCAGACTCTTACTGACTATAAACCACCCCTTTCCTTCTACTGCACGTCGACCCGGAGCCCGGTAACCCGTTAGGTTCTCCTCTATTTAAATTCAAGCATATCAGCCGACCAATTGAAAAGGAATTATGAGTATTTCTGAACTGTTGAAAGTCACTCAATTTAACGTCATTACTTCAGGGTCTAATAAGCAGTTAATGCACTGACCAACACTTCATTTCAAATTATGGCGGTACAACTTTCGGAAATGTCTTCGTTTTCTCGCTTCACCGATCTGAGTGAAAATATTAGAAATAGACATGAATAAACTGACAGTCGAAGATGCATTTAAACACCAATAAAATTAGTTAATTAGCTAAGTCGAAAAAATTTAATTTTAATTAGCTAAGTTAAAATCTGTATGATTCGTGCATTACCAATCCAAAAGAAATCATTTCCGTAGGAGGAACTACATTTTCATAACCTAAGAATAAATATACATATGAAACACATCATTATCAATCAAGTCTGGGTGATGGAAATAAGTGTAACAGTACAGATATTAGCTTATTTCCACAAAGCATTGCAAGTTGCAAAAACTTAGACATTTCCTGCAGAAATCACAGCACTTCCAGGTCGGAGTTGATTGGCACAGAGGACATAGATTAATCTTTTAGCAGTTTCTCTTTGTAGCCTGTATTTTGAGGTCTTCCACATCGTAAAGTATGTTTTGCGTCGTTTCTCTATTTCCCGGTACGATATCCGAATTCCAGGGTGACGAGCGAGCGGTGAGTTGCATTCGTTTTGGCTCGGTGCCATCGAAATACGGGTGTTCTAGATAAAATTCTACGTACTAAGTGTTAAATTGGTGTGTCACGTGGAATCGTAGCGTTTCCACGTTGTTGGGGTGAACACGGTTTAGAGACCTTTGAAATAATATGTTTGCTACAAAGCAGATGTAACAATTTATTCTAATCATAACAGAATACAGAGACGATGTATACTGTTTGATCGTCGAAATATCATTATCGCCTTATTAGACAAATAATATATGTAACTTAACAAGGTCAGGTATTAACTATTTACGAATGGAGCTCGGACTGCAGTTTATGCGTCCACATTATCTCATCGAAGTACCCAGGTAACACTATCTGTTGGCCCCTGCCTGTACCGCAATGGAAAGCAGTGTGACCGGTACCTACGATACACCAAACTAACTACACGCTTCGCAAACGTCGCGGTCTGGTAAACTTTCGTCTACAATATTATTTAAATATCACTTTCTTTCTAAGTTAAAAGTGCAATGCGAAGTATAAAACAGCTATAAAATAAACTGTAGCAGTAAGGGGTAAGGTTGAAGTTTCTTTGGCAGTGAGAGGTATTTAATTATGATGTGTATATTGAAATTCAGATGTTTGCTTGAAGTCCGGTTAAATTGAAATTAAATTGCCTACCGCGGAAATTGCGCGCTCAGAGCCGACCAGCTGAGTGATCAATACTAACTTGACTACGTAAGAGAATGTTCTAACATTTTATTTAAAAGTGTACATTTAATATACCCACTTAAGAAAAGTGAACCTTTTTACCAATCGTAGCAATACTTTGTTTTTATTTATTTGGTTGAATGAACGCAAAAAAACCATTTGCATTTAGAAGCCCAATTGTTGAAGTTATTTATTAGCAGGTTACTACTTCACGCTATAAACATGAAACAAAATTAATTATGAACATAACTGAATACATTGGCTTGGCATAAACAGATCACGAAAGGTGAAAACAGAGAAGAGTTGTTTTTCACTTAAGGCTTTGACTGCCAATAGAAAACTATTGAAGTCAAATCTAACGTCAGTCACCGGTGACCCCCGTGGCGGTTAATGTGTTAATAAAAGTTATGTACTTAATATGTGCACTGCAAGACATAGGCGTCCCCCTCAATGACTTCCAGACTGATATCAAGTAAAAGTTTAACATTCGGGAATTGTTCCATGCGGGAATGGGATACTCAACACGACAGCCACTATTAACGGAGGGCCCATTCACTGCGTCAACCGTGCAGTCATAAAAAAATATATTCACGCAAATATTTACGTCTACAAAGGCCCGTGTCAATTTTGACACACCTTGCTTTTACTGTGATTAACTAATTGTTTGAAAGCGCTTTGTAATTAATTATTGTAACTAACAAACTTCGTGCCGCCTAAGCATTGATGCAAATTGACAAAAACAAAATATAGGAAAACTGTTTCTTTTTGTTACTATTTACAGTATATTCAGCCGTTCAGGAATTACTTATAAATGGTCGCACAAATTCGACTTCTTTGCTGACTTTAGATAAAGGATTAGAAATTGATAAAATTTCGAAAACCTACTCGTAAGTCGTAATCATATATCCGAAATCAAAGATTTGAGAGATATGATACGACCTATCAAACCTGAATATGGAAATTAGTGATTAATTGATTGAAATACCACGAAATTGAGATGAAACGTGAGAAATACAGGGAGAATGGTAATAAGTGAATAGATAATTTATGAGGAAATTCGTGTTTGATATTTTAGGAAAAGTAAGTTATTCGCATCTTAGAAATTTTGTATATCTATACGCAATCCTAACGAACTTTAGCGTCATACGTTTTTAGTTTCCGATTTTGATGAAAAAATAAAAACATGAATTTTGGATAGTGAGGTCCTGGTCTGCGTTCGTACATTCTAATTCATGTCATCGTCTAATCAAGTTTATACCTCATCATCAATATCATATCAGCCACAAGACATTGACAGCCGACACTAGTCCCCTAACGACTTGCATCTAGTAAATCTTCACATCATACACATCTTCTAAAGAAAGGTCACGATGCTTTGTCTGTCGCCGATTCTACTGACCTTAAGTTTCGGGTAGAAATCTGGCAGTCTGTTGGGTTTGAGGTTGAGCGTGTTGCAGATCTCCCGGTGTAGCGCGAGAATTTGCTTCATGGTGCCCGCTGAGCAGAAGTGGTCGAACATTTCAGCCGCCAGCGCGCATTCTGGCGGCGTCGGCTCGACGCGGACGCCCCTATTCATTTTGACGGGGCTGCAATAGAAAAATACATTCACATTAAAGAAGAAAAAGAAAGACATAACATCACGCCTTTTATCCCCGAAGGGGTAGGCAGAGGTGCACATTACGGCACTTAATGCCACTGTACAATGTAACACCCACTTTTCATTATTTATGTTATGAGTCCCATGTAATAGGGGTGAGCCTATTGAAAAAAAGAAAGAATCATCAGGCTGTCAAGAAACACGATTCGTAAGAGACAATTTAAATACACGGTTGGTTAGCGCAGTGATTGAGCGAGCTGTTGTTTCGCTAGACATGCATTCGATTCCAGTACAGAAAAAATCCTTGAGTGGTTGACGATTTGTTTTATGGGGCTAATGTCGTGTGTATGTTTATAAAGCACCAACAGCGTAAGATGAAATTACGAATAGTAATTTATTTTGGAAAAAGAAAGTGCTGACTGGAGATATTAAAAAAACATTGGTCTGCCGTATTACAATGACAATTGTAAATCTGACCATCCACTTAAAACATCAAAATAACAATTTGTAATTGTAAACATTCTAAAATAATCCTTCCGCAATAACAATTGAAGGTAGGTAGAGAGATACGAATTAAAAAGGGTACGATAATATAAACTGACGCACGCAATGCACGTGGATGCTCCCACATCCCCCAGCCACTTATCAATGAGAGAAAATGTGAGGCACATATAAACTCAGTAACAATAACACTAGGTCAGTATCAAAGTAACGTTGAAATTCCAAAAAGCCCGACCCTTCTGTGGACCTATTCGTTTTGTCCCCTTCTCAGTTCCCTTTTATCTCCTTCAGACAACCTGAATGTCCTATGCCTGCAAGCAGGGCAAGACATCCCAGATTTAATTAAAAATATATGACAGTTCATCACTTCACTCACCTTACTACTAACTCAGAAAATTCTTCTTTCTAACAAATATTCAAGAAGAAATAATTATGTAGGTAGATACTATTTTATTTTCTTAATGAAAATTATTTTAGTTCGAAATTGGTCACACATCACACGGCTATAAAGGATAATTGAAATAATCAGACAAAAATATCACTAATTAAATTAAATTCCACAATAAGAAGCACAAGTCCAAACGTCACTTGTCTTAGGCAACCGAGACCGAGGAGGGCTTGATGCACTACATCACCCCTCGCGGTTCAGACACGACTTGGCGATAACGGAGCGAACTGTGCACTAACGCAATCTATCACGTATATCAACGCACTTACGTTGTACCTATATAATTGTATCATGAGTAATACGCTAGCGGACGCATGGGCTATAATTAGTTATTATGAGCATATTAGCTGCTCATAATAGTGCAAAGTGCACCGTAATGTGGTGGGTTCATTCACATATCAACGACCCGTAGATATGATGCTGCAGCGCATCCATGAAGCCCGATACATTCCGCTTGACCTGTCTACGGGCGACGAATGGCGAGGGACGCAAATCAAACTTCCTCACCCACATAGCTGTCTGGGGCTCTTGCCGATTGAATCAATGTGATTAAACAAACTGACAGTCATAACATAATCTACAAAGTCGCTTGTGGGGCTCAAAGCAATGTTATAATTCCTTCAAGAAACGATCCTTGCATCCCTTGTTACTCATTAACACAGCAGTCAATAAGTGGATATTTATTAACAAAAGATTGACAATTGACCTATCATAGAAAAACAGAAATATGTGTGATATCAGGATATACATGCCATGCATTTCTAGTGAATGAGTTGTCGCCTTTTGAAAGTTTTCAGTCATCAAAGAGAGTACTTTTAATTATCAGGGATAGAAATGTATACATACTGTGCATGACGCAGTTTAAAAATAATTGCGCCCTAGTCTATGACACGCATTGACGAAAAAAAGGACGATATTTACAGATACGTCATCAATCCCGATTTTTGCGTCGACAACTTATTAGCATAGGTTTAAAGGTTTAAGATAGTCATGGTGAATTTAGATACTGACTTATGTCATTCAGAAATTAATTACATTTCAACTTATCATTAGATTTATCGAGTTATTCTGCGTAAAATACTCCTCAATGCCATTCTGACTAGTGATACCATAAAATAGACTGATGTAAAACCGTCGCTAAACTTAAGATAATCAGAACGTACGAAGAGGTTTAGGCAGATATGACCCTGAGAACTATATTAATGATTTTGAGTAACCACTGTGGAGGTTGTCCAGTGCAGCTTGTTATTCAATGAACGACGGGGCGCTAGTTTGCTTTGGTTGGACGATGAAACGTTTTTAAATGTTTAGTGAGACCTTATTAGATAAATCGAGAAGTGTAGATTATAATTTAATTGTTTATCATACTTAATACTTGTTAGATTGAGTGGTTACTTCTTTGCCTATAAGTCAAGTCGTTCTGCTAGAATAGGTTTGATTTAGTAAGCGTTTTAAACACAAAATATTTACTTTAGATAAACATTCTAGTGAAGAAAATATAAAGGAAGTTAAAGCCTAGCCTTAGCTTAGCCTAGCTATAGCCTTTACCTATACCGAAAATGCAGACTTAAAATCCCGCACAAGAAACTTCAAAGTAATTAAAGCCCGAGAAACGAGGTCGAGAGCGTAAGAAATTCTTAACACTATTAATACCTGCATAACTTCAAAACACCTACGTAGTATAAATCTAGGTGTGGAAATGTGAACTACGTCTAATATCAGTGAACCTAGCTTCCCATTCAACGAAATCACACTTTCTATTTCTAGCACCAAGATCACAACGTGCCAAAATAAAATACGACGCGTAAGGTAACTGCTCAGAAAATATTGATATAAATCACTTTGAAGGAAAAGACTTTTGATAGAGCTACCTAGAATATTCGCTAATAGAAGTGTTTCAACATGATGATGCCAATGAACACATAAGCTCAAAACGATTTTGAAGCACCAACCGAAGGTCCGAAAATAAACTGCTCATAATAACACCCACCAAGGAGTAGCAACCAAAAACATTTGAGCAAAGATTACAGGCTAGACATAGCATAACTAATTCAACTCAATTGACATGTCAAATACAATTTTGCAATATAATATACAAACGCCACACGATTACCAATAAAAAATACATTTTCAGTTGGCACAGTTTATCAGTTCTCTCACGGAGAGTTATACAAGAACGCAGTATGTCATCGACATCACGACCTCCGCGCGGATGCAGTAATTGAAACAATACACCTAGCCCTCTGCTCCCTTTATGGGTCAACACACTTAAGATGATGCACATACTAAACACTATCCGCAAGTCGGTACAACTCCTTTGCAATTCCACTCAGGGAGAGGCTTTTGACTTGTTATTTAAATTCATTTTACTATTCTAATTGGCAACGGGTCTACTTCCCCTACTATTCATATGGGTACCTATACCCATTCTGTAATTAGTGTGAACTGTGAATCATGCTTCGTTACATTATGAATTAGTTATTATTTACGCAAAAAGAAATAATTTAGTCAGTGTTTCAAATATTTTTTTGCCCAAATTATTAACCAAATTGTAATCGCATAATTACGGATTCTTAATGTTATTAGATAGGTACATTGTCTATACGATAAAAGGTCTCTTTCTGAACATAGACTATGTTTGATGTTTATCAACTTCCTCAGAATACTAAAAATACTTTGTAAATATCAAACAGTTATCAAAGAGAAAATAAGTACAAAATTATCGTTATGTGTTGTATCCTTTGTATATGTTAGTCATGGCACCATTCCGCGCAAATTGTATGGCCAATTCTGAACTTGTTGCGTATCTGCGACTTGTTGTTCCTATTCATCATTTATGTTGAAATTAATTGCCCTTGGATTCTTTGTTTTGGTAAGTAAAAACATTCCCATCGTCCAACAAAAATGTGTGAGTACCCAGACTCCATACAACTAGGATCAAGGGACTCAGGATAAAGGGAAACCTGGCGAACGAAGCCTAGATCTCGTGATTAGCAGCCGTTCTTGTGTCCACCAGAGCAACGAGGTAGGTGAGTGAATTGTTATATTAATTTGATTATGCAAAACGCAGTAATTAAGCGTATAATGTGCGCCGACCGTTACGCTGGGCTTATTAGACGAACAATTATACACTCCAAATTAAACTCTCCAATGCTGTAATTAGTTTCATTTTCGTTTGTTATGTTCTATGTGATGTGCAATATGCTGTGTATTTGCATTCAAAAAATTCTAATTAGAGTTTTTTGAGACCAATTAACATGTACACATTTATTACAAAGTGTAAATTTTAAGAAAGTATTGCAGGTAAGAGGAAGGAAAGTTACTCTGTTACGTACGATTTGTAATTGAATGTTAATCTATGATAACTATCCTTTGAAAAGGTACCTAGATGGTTTGCATTCCCTTATATTTGGATCTTAGCAACGAAATCCAAGTATCTAGTCAAATGGCAAATTGCACTTGCAACGAGCAACACTTTCAGTTTCTAACCACATTGTTATTCGAAAAAAAAACGTACACCATAAGTGATAAAAGATTGCGTTAGTAAAACATGGAATTAATTAAAAACAAGAAAAACATCGAGTCATCATCCCGAGCGCGACGTAAAGTCAACTGAGTGAAACGGATTGCGGGCCCGTAAATACTAAAAAGGAGAGCGCGTACAGAACAATAAAGCGGTGGTATCGTCAATCAGCAATAATGATGATTATAGAGCGATCACTGCTAAACGCTAGTGCTTTATCATACACGACTATACGATGACGTGTACCATTCAACTGCAAACACATTAAGGGATGCCAGTCCTCACCCTGTGCATACTGCATACATCGCTAAGAGGTATTTGCAATGACTGACCGATATACCCTTTAGGTTTTTTGGCGTCCTATCTAATCGTGGTATCGAAATAATCATATGACGTCATTGTATCGGTGACCGCCTACTCGGAATCGGTCACGGAGGAGACACGTCGTCTCGACACAAAGTGATACTGATTGCTGCTACCTTGAGTGGGCGATATCCCTTGCATCGTCTCCAGTGCAGTCAGCGCCAAGTTATAGATCGAGCTAATAAAAATATTTTTTATTCTTTTTTAATCTCCTTATTTCATCGGTACGTAACCACTGTGCCACCGCCTTCCCTGCGGCCACTGGGTGGGCATCTAGAGTCCCCACTCTATGCACCCATGCCCCCAAAAGTCCGCCTGAAGTTGAATCCTTCTACAAGCACATCGGCCCTCTCGCGATCCCGCTCAACAGCCTCCTTTTGGGACATTACCGTCTCACAAAAGGAGGCCACTTCCCTCCAATTTTCTGAATCTGCTAGCATAGCCCTTACTACTGCTGGCAAAGACAGGTCTCGCCAGAAATAGATGTGTAGCCTAGATTTAACTTCTGAATGGTTTGCGTGAGTTCACGACCCTTTGTGGTGATAATCCTGCGCCCCAGTCAGGAAATAATTTATAGTCTCAATGATCATTAAGCAACATCTAATCGGATAGTGGTGAATAGATTTACAAGCCCGATAACACGAATAAAAGGACCAGTGTCCAGTGTAATGCCGTGTAACTATTATAAACAGGTATTTGAATCGGAAAATGGAGTAAACCTTGTTTCTGTGCACTAGAAGAAGTAATCAGTAAAGAAGTTGTTACATAGTATACCATTACAATAGATTTAATAAAGGATCATTCCTTACCAGGTTGATTAAATTAATTGCTTCGTTAATTACACTGGCCATCCTGCCTACTGAACGACCTACTAAGACGCTGGTCATTAATATGTAGGTAAGTAAATGATGATCATTATCATAAAAATTATCGTTGAACAATTTTATACAATATCCTGTTTTGCTTATTCTATTCATACTTAGATAATTACACGTTTCCTTTAGCGTTTAACATAGAAGTCACATGGAAGATGTTGGCTTCTTTCTTTGGTCAGGTCAGATTCACAACCACGAGGCCTGTAAGGTGGCAGTACAACACTTGGGCAGTACATGTCATATGGAACTATGGAAGTGTGTATGTATGAGCCGGACGAGAGTGAGTCAATGTGGTCACATTATCTCTGCCCACTGGAAGTGCCTAACTATTTATGGAAGTAAGACTCATATCAGATGAAAATTTAAGGATAGACTTAAACTTATGATAATGACTAATTCAGTTTTTATGATGGCTATAAAGTTACTGTAGTAGGTCGTTCAGGTTTTCAAGAAATGTAATAGTTACG